TGCAAACTGTTTTCCAAAACATATTGTTCTGCCCAGTTCACGAACCCCAAAATACCAGGAATAAACAGACTCCGCTGTAAACACATGAGGTTCTTTTTATTGTAAATTACAAGCTGCAGCTTGGGCCCACAACCCCCCCCCCCACCAAAGCGGTGGGTGCCAAATGCCCAGGTTAGTTGGGTGATTTAAAGATTCTGGTCCATCCCAGCATGCCCAAGGAAGGGGTGATTCCTGCCTGGCAAGCATCTATTGGTCAAAATGCTACATTTTGAATTGATTGGCTATAGGAAGGTCCCCAGACCATTAATGACCTTGTGTCCCTCCTTAGGGGCATGGGCCAGTTTCCTAGCAACTCTAGCTCTAGTGGGTGGGGAAAGAATGCAGTAAGGCGGTTCTTCCCCTCAGGGCATTCCTTCAGGCCTTAATTAATAATAGCTGCTAATTTTTAATCTTTTTGTCTCTCAATATATTCCCTCTGTTGTGTTCCCCCAGCAGTGAACATGAGATCCTATTATCTAAAAATGCCTGGCAGTTGTCTTGGCCATGTAGTGTCTGCATTTCCCTTGTGCTTGTGAGCTTCACATAAACACACACACACACACACACACACACACACACACACACACACACACACGGAGATATCTTCCTTGGCCATGTGTGTTCAAGTACTTTGTTCCTGTTCACTGGATGGTTTGCTTTCCTGATGTTAAGAGTTGACGTTTCCTCACTGACACTAGTGTTATCCACGTAATTGGAAATGCTTTTTCAATGCATAGCTTGTTTTTCTGTTCAGCTAACCGTGTCCTACATAGCTGTTCTCAGCTTGAGGAAGCCAACCCACTAATTTCCCTTTACAGGGCTAGTCTTTGCTGGCAGATCTCAGAACTGCCTTGCCACCCAGGCCATAACAATCCTTTCTTTGTTTCCATCTAATTGCTTTGAGATGAACAGGGAGTTGAGGCCTGCAATCCTGTCAAAGCTGACTTTGTAAGGAACGCCCAGGCTCTCATCAAGGTTTGCTGACCTGTCTGTGGTTGGCAGTTGATCCAGTGCAGTTGGAAAGATGGAGACTTGTTTTTGTACCTTTATCAGAAACCAAATTGAGTTTGATAAAATATATTTTTAATGAAAATGTTAGCAATGTGAGCAACTGGGATTTGGCTCTCCTGAGGACCCTCTGAGTCACAGGATGGGACATTTCATGTTATCTCGGGAGGAAGGAAAACCCAGACACGTTTCCTATCATGCTCCATCCTACTGACTAGGGGCTGTGTGAGCCAGGTTTCCATCACTGTTAAACACACAGAGACCAACTTGAACGGAGGAAGGGTGATTTTGACTCCTGGTTTCAGAGGTTCTACACATGATTGTTTGTTCTCCTGGCTGTGGGCCTGTGGGAAGTCAGAGTACTATAGCAGAGAAGTTTATGGAACAGCTGGCCACCACATGGTATGAAGGAAGCAGAAAGGATAAGGGGCCAGTTGAAGGAGGTACTCTCAGGGACTAATCCTACCAGCCCCAGCCTCATTCTGCAGAGCCTCCCAAAACAGGGCCATACTCACATCCATAAGTGACAGAGACAGTGCCTATTAACCTCACACCTGCTCTCAAGACCGTGTCAGAGAAACACAGAAGGGAAGCAAGGGCACTAGCCCGGGTGTCAGTGTGTCAGGAAGGATCTAGCACAGTGTCAGGGGACTCAGAACCTTTCCCATCAGCACTTCCAGCACAGCCTACCTTGGCACTGACTCATTAGGCTTCAAATTGAGTCCATTCCACCACTGGGCTTTCAAGATGCTGGAGACACAGTCTCTGAAATGATTTGCTAGACAGTCATAAGAACAAATTGTAACCCACTGTTTGGCTGTTTTGTAGGTCTTGTTGACATTAATTTGTCTCATACTTTCTAGATGTGTCTCAGCTCAGGCCAGCCCCTTCCTGCCTTAGTGCTGTGGCAGGACCCATTAAGATCTCATTACACGTAAATGCTATGTAAAGCCAAGACTCTGGCCCTCCAGTAAGTACCTAGAATGGGCAGCACCAAGAAGCTGGGAATTCACTGAGAATTAGAGGCAAGGGTGGAGAGAGAGGTGACCAGAAGGGCCAGTCCCACAGCAACTGCCACCAGGAAGTAACTGAGTACCCCAGGGAAATACTCTAGGCCTTGCAGCATTGGGAATGGAAAACTTATCTGTCTTGCCTTACCATCTCTCAGTGGTGGCCCTGTGTCCTGAGAGCATCTGCCCTCAGGAGACTATAACATCAAGGTCCAGATCCAGTCCACCAAGGGCTGGCCCCATGCCCTGTCCTACCTACAGTACTATCCTCCATGCTATCCTTCTGGCTTAGCAATTATTATTTTCATCAGAGCAACTTTATCTTCTTGTAAGAGATTCTCAAGATCTGGCCTGTGGACTGTTGATATTCAGGCAGAGAAGGAGGTGTTAGGAGAATTATTTGGATCTTCATCTGAGTTTCCAGTCATTCTCTCATGTACCTCCCATCCCCCTAAAGGAATTCTTACCTAAGTTCTGAGGCCTCCTGGCCTCAGAAGGTAATAGAATGTATAGATTATAAAAGGTTTAATTGAAGAAAGGATGGAGAAGATAACATCCATGCTGGGTGATACTTTAAGCTCATCGGGTTTTCAAGCTGATATTGTTAGAGCTATACTTTGGCTTTTTGTTGGTGCTCATCTGAATGGGGGAGATATTTGCTCATGCTCCCCAGGGAAAAAATTCATGCCAATTTCTATTCCAATTAGTATCTGTTACCACTTTAGTTTGACTACTATCTACAAATAGTGGGAGAACTTGGAAAATTCTGACACTGGAATACAAAGAGGGGGGATGGACATTGGCAGGCACCCAGGGTACCTCCCTGGCACTCAGAGCACAGGTGGTATCCCAGGCTCTGCCAGTCATGTGTGTATTGTTCTTCTCCTGTCTCAAGTATTGGAACATGAATACCTATGTGTTAAGGTATAAGAAAAATGATTCATGCATGTAAGTGGAAGAAAACCTGTCAGGTACAATTGGAACTCTCCACTGACACGGAAATGCTAGCCTCTGGTCTTAAAGAGCACTGGCCCCACCCTCTCACAACCAGCCTGTCAGGCTTCTTGCTCAGCACCAGCTTCCATGCTCAGGGTGAAGGTTTGGTGGGGGAGTGCTGTTCATGCTAATGCCTTAGTACAACCCAAACGTATCATAGAAGGATCATTAATATTGCTTATAGATTCTTGGAGCTTCTTAATTTTGGTCCTGAGAAGCACAACGATGCTATTGTGGGACTAGAACTTGTCTCCAGGGCCTAGGTCAGTTGGGTCTCAGAGAAGGTGGCTGAGCCCAGGAAATGCAGAGTCAGGACTAAAAAGCAAAGTTCCTGCTGAAGAGATACCTGGGATGAGGTCCACAGAGATAGAGAACAGCCTTGATGAACTCTGAACACATCTGGTGCCTCATGCACTTACTTATCCAAAGGGAATGAGCTCTGGCCATGTGAGAGCATGTGGGTGCTCAAAGCTCATGAGAATGGAAGCTGTGGAGCACGGTAGGAGCACAGGGGTGGGTTCTGGACTAGATGGACCCTGGTTCCTCATCCCACCTCAGGGCACAAGATGGCAAGGAACAAACATACGTGGACCTAAGTTGTACCAGGGCAGTCCTGGCTCTGAAAATGTCCTCTCAGCCCTCAAATAACAAGAGCAGCAGAAGGTCAAGTCCCCTTGTTGGAGATGAAGCCCCTGGAGCTCACAAAGGTGAACCCCCTTCACTGATTCCTTCAGGGACAAATACTCATGACCCCTAATGTGTGGCTGGAATGCTCACACAGACAACTTAATTATGGAAATTGAACCCTAACTGGTGGTTTTGTTATCACCATTGTCTGGTTAGTGAAAAAGGAGCAAGACATCTGAGAGTAAGAAGTGGTCTGCAAAGCTGGGTATGCTGGCACACGCCTGTAACCCCAGCACTTGGGGAGACAGAGGTAAGCAGATCTCTGTGAGTTCAAGGCCAGCCTGGTCTACAAAGCCAGTCCTGGACAGCCAGGCTACACAAAGAAACCCTGTCTCAAAAACCAAAACAAAACCAAACAAAAGGTGGTCTTCAGAGAGCACAGCTGGCCTCAGTGCAGAACCAAGTGGGTCAGGGGTCATGGTATTCCCTGGTACGGCATGGGGTCTACCCTGATGATGTTTAAATTTGTAATTCATTTATTTTACTTTATGTATGTGAATATTTTGCCTGAACTTATAGATGTGCACCAATGGTGTATCGAGTGCCCTCAAAGGTCAGGAAAGAACATCAAATACCCTGGACCTAAAGTAAGGGGTGGTTTTAAGCCGTCATGTTGGTGTTGGGACTTCAGCCCAGCTTGTCTGCAAAAGTAATGAGTGCTCTTCATAGCTAAGCCCTGTCTCAGGCCCCTTAAACTCACTAGAGTAACAAAGTGTCCCCACTTGCTGGAAGGTCCAGGTGGAGTATCCATGCAGGATAGGACAATGAAGTGGGCTTCCTCCCCAGGCAAGGGTCATGCCATCTGGGAACCAGCAGGTGGTCTCTGGCTGTGAGGCTCAGCCCCTTTCAGGTCAGGAGCCAGGTATCAGGGAACACAGCTCAGGGCAGCCATGGGCAGATGGAGGGCAGGGGTGAGAAGGGAAGCCTGCCTCCTCCTGCACAAAGTACAACCTCCCTGCATGGAGTCACTCATCCCCCCAGGGGGTGTGTGAGCCCAGCACTTGGGTGGCACAGACTGTGTCTTTCTTCATCTGTAGGTGACACTCAGTTGATATTCATCAGATCCCAACAACAACAACCTTCTTCCTCCATGATGGATGTGGATTTGGCCATGATAGAAGGACAGGAGGGACACGGTTAGCGCCAAGTGGGCACACGTCCCTGTCCATGGGGGATTTAAAGGGCACCTGTGAGGAGCCAGAGTAGACTTGTCTGGACTCCCCAGGTGACCTGCCCTGTGTGAGAGCGCAGGGACTGGAGATGAAGAGCCTGCTCCTGACTGTCCTGCTTCTGGGGCTGGTGGCTGTCCTGAAGGCTCAGGAAGACCTGCTAGATGACAAGGAGGATGTGAGGAGGGATCACTGGGTGAGAGTAGAAGAAAAGCACACCCTTGTTTGGTGTTGGTGTTGGTGTTGTAGACTGGGTCAAGAGGTGTCCTTGAAGACTGAAGTCCAACCCCACACTTCAGCATATGAAATGATCGGAGACTCCACTGTTTTACCAGCTGAGTCTCTCCAGGAGCACAGGCCTGAAGCAGGAGAGTGGATTTGGGCCATCAGTCTGTGTTCAAGTGACATGGGGTGGGATTTTTCATATGGTGGGATTTTTAGGGCAGAGGATTTACTCAGTGATGACCTCCAGACCTCTAAGAGTGTAAACTTAGGAAGCAGATATCCCCTGCCTCTATTAGGCCAGAGAGCCCAAGTGTTGGGCTCTCTCTACAGTGAGCATGTGTCGGGTGTGGGGTGTCAGTGCTCTTCAGAGCTGTGGTGGAGAGCCTGGGATGTCTGTTCAGGCTGCTGGCCAGGCTGGGGTGTGTTCAGGGCTCTGTCTTCTGCAGTTCTCTGGGACCTGGTATACAAATGCCATAGTATGTGACAAGGACCATACAAATGGGAAGAAACCCAAGAAAGTGTACCTTATGACGGTAACTGCCCTGGAAGGAGGGGACTTGGAGATCACGATAACATTTCAGTGAGTGTATCCAAGGAGTCTCTGCAGCTGTCTTTCTGATCTTCTCCAGTCTCATTTCAGTGTGGGTGACAGAATGCTTCTGCCTTTGAGGGGGCATGGTGCCACACAATACTCTAAATTTTGGACAAGGCTGATATAGAATTTGGGGGTCACCTGGTCAGGGCTGATACATGTGGTGATTTGAGTATGGCTCGTGTTTTACAGGAAGAATGGTCAGTGTCATGAGAAAAAAATTGTGATTCATAAAACTGATGATCCTCACAAATTCACTGCCTGTGAGTATCCTGTGGCCCTGGGATCTCCCGCAGGGGCAAGCTCCTGCATGGAGGGGCCCTGCCTTGCTCAGCTCATCCACTCATAATCCACCAACTATACATTAGAGGATACGGGTTAGTCCATCCCAGGTACTGACTGTCTCCCACTCACTACAGCTTAGCTCCTGACCCATGAGGAACCACTGCTAAGAACAGGGAAGTGGGGCCAGGAGGTGTTCAGGCCTGCTGCCTGATAAGGGCCTAGCTCAGCCCTTATCTTCCTCTGGAATCCTCAGCAGGGCCTGGCAATGTCCTGGAAGATAGCTTCTGCCTAATTATGGAGATCACGGAAAGACCAGAGCTGAACTGGCTGGGTCTCTTGGGTGACCAACTAACTACAAGTGTTCCAGATTATCTCCTTGAAAAAAGTTCAAAGGTTTTCCAAGAAATGAAATGCTAAGAGCTATTTTTCTGTTCACCTGTAGTCGGTGGCAAAAAAGTCATCCAAATTCAGGCGACTTCTCAAAAAGACCACTACATCTTGTACTGTGAAGGCAAGCACAAGGGGAAGCTACATCGCAAGGCGAAACTTGTGGGTGAGGAGCCACAGAGACCGTATCCTGTCCACAGTCTCTGCTTCTAGTAGCTAAAAAAGGGAAGCAGGCAGCAGCCATGCTGGGCGCTGGGGACTGGGAAGCCTCAAGGCAGTATGTAAGATCCAAAGAGGAAAGCAGGTCAGCTGGGAGGGCCCAGCTTCTGTGACCTTCGAAGGTCTGAGCATTCAGAAAGGGTTTCCACCCCTGGAGACAGCAAATGTGAAAGAGAATAACCTGGCAGAGGTCTCGATGTATGTGCGGGATCCTCCGGGGTCAGAGACAGCTCCACGCCTCTGAGATCCAGCGCTCTTAATGGTCAGGGAAGTGACCCTGAAAGTCTTTTATGGTTAACAGGGGCTTTGAGGATCACTCAGTGTCTGTGTTTGGGGGTCTCCATCCAAGAGCAACTTGTCCACTGCCAAGGTTCTCTTCCTTCTTATCCTGGCTGCTCCAGGTTGACAGTCCCAGTGCTGGTCAGTGATCTTGACCTTTGTCACTGGTCCCCTGCAGAGCTGAGCAACACCCCTCAAACTTTCTCAACCTCCTCACAGGGAGAAAGCCTGAGAAAAGCCCAGAGGCCATGAGAGAATTTAAGGAATTTGTAGAGAGCAAGAAATTAAAAGCGCAAAACATCGTTGTACCAGAGCAGATGGGTAAGAGAAGGCTGTCTGTGTCCTCTCCCAACTCCGCCCTGCTTCTCCTTCAAGGCTTTCTGTGAGCATTCTGTGTCTCTGATCTTCTATTGTCTCTCATATTTCTGAATGTTCCTGTATGCCTCCGGGTACTTTGTGTGTTTGTGTTTCACTCTGTGTTACTCATGTCTTTTTGCCTCTCACAAAGCCCACTGCCCCTTCGGAAGGGCACCAGAGCTCTTCTTCAGGGCTGGACTTTGAGAAGGTTTGAGCTGCAGGTGTGATGGGTCCATATACACAGCTCCTTCTCACCCCTGGCCTTTTCTTGGTTTCCACAGGTCAGTGTACCCCTGAGAGTGACTAGGGTAAGTGGTCATCAGGGAGGACCATGGAGAAGCCTAGCGCTTGGGTTCTGGGGTTAGAGGGTCCATGTGCTCTGATATTTATCTCACCCACTTGAGCAGAAATACTTTGTTAAGAACTGATTCCTAGTGTAATCCCTGAACTCTGCTCTCTGCACAGCTATACCCCCACCTCCCATACCCAGGGACACTCAGACACTTGACAGGTCCTGGGTGTAAGCGGAAGGGTCACTCATGGCTGTGGCTGCCCAGCAATGACTGCACAAATGCTTCAGACTAGAAGACCTCTGGCCAGCACTGCCGCTCACCAGCCAATCTTGGATGCACCTGCGGATCCTGCCCCAATATCAGCACAGTTCTGAGACATCCTTGGACCTCCCCTACCCTGGACCACTTTCCTCACTTTCACTGCCAGACTTTTCTCCTACCTCAACTCCATCCATTCCCAACACCAGCTTCTCCTAATAAAGCATTTCAGCATCACTCTGGCTCAGCCTTGCTTCAGCTGCCTGAAGACTCTGACGGAGTAGAGCCTGGTGGATGTAGCGCTCAGCAGAAGCCAGTTCCTGAAGAGTTTGAGCTATATCTTAGTCAGGCTTCTCTAGAGAAACAGACATAATAGAAGGAATCTATATAGACAAGACCAAGACCACCATTCTGACGATGACTGTTTCCTGATGGGAAATCCATTAGTCCATGAGGCTGGGTGTCTCAGCTAGGATTCAGTATATGCCAGAAGAAGACTAATAGCAGCGAAGGAATGAACTTGCCGGTGAGGGTAAGCAGGCGAAGAGCAAGATTCCTTCTTCCATGTCTTTATAGAGGGTGCCACAGGAAGGTGTGGCCCAGATTTAAGGGGATCATCCCACAGCAAAAGATCAGGATTTATGCTGGGTCTTCCCACTTCAAATAACTGAATCAAGAAAAATACCTTAGAAGTGTGTTCAGTAGCTTTCGCAGCCTCACAGTATCCACCATGTGGGACTCTCAATGCCCAGCTGATCAGCAACTGGCCCACATGCATTTTCCCACTACTGAAGTCACTCATCAGTACTGCGTCTAGGTCTGTCTGTCCCTCTGTACTTGTTTTATGAAATTTGGCATACAAATATTTACATCTTCTTTTAAAAGTTTTTATTTGATGAGTCTGTCTGCCTGTGTGTGTGTAGTGCCCAAGGAGCCAGAAAAGAGCACTGGGTCCCCAAAACTAGAATTGTGGATGATTGCAAACCACCGCATGGAAGCTGGGAACCCAACCTGAGTGCTCTGCAAGAGCAGCCAGTGCTCATAACCACTGAGCCATCTCTCTAGCCTCTTACTGGGTCTTCTTGATGGATTGCTCCCTATATTATTATGTAGTGGCCTTGTTTATCTCTTCCTACTAATCTTGGCTTGAGACCTAGTTTGTCAGGACGAGTAGAAACACTTCCTTGCTTTGTGCTGATTTTCATCCTCTCACCTTCAGCTAATGTGTTCCTTTGTCATGAGACTTGTTTTGTGTAACAGCGAATAGTCAAACTTTGCATTCATCCTGCAGTTGGAGAGTTAAGACCCTTCACTTTTCAAGCTCCTATTGAGTGCTATTAATTCAATTTTGTTGCTGATTCTTTAATTTTGTTACTCTTCTTTTTAAAAGATTTTCTTTTCAATTGCATGTATTGAGTGTCTATGTACGCTCATGTGCACACATGTCTGGGTGCCTCTTGAGGCAAGAAGGGAGTGTTGGATCCCTTAGACATGGAGGAGTTACAGGCAGTTGTCAGCTGTCTAGTATGGGTGCTAGGAACAGAATCTGGGTTCTCTGCAAGAGCAGTGTACACCTATAACTTAGGAGCCATCTCTTCAGTCCCAGTTTTGTTGACCTTTTTTTTTTGTGGGGGGGAGGGATTATCATTTGTTCTTTTCCTTTTTTTCCCCTCCTAGAACAGGAGGTTTGTTAATTTACTGTATTGGAATTGATAGATGGACATTTTCCTGCCTCTTCTTAGTTTATCTAGTCTTCTTATAAAATTTATTTTTTTTCTTATGCTCTTTAGATTGAAGCTGCCTGTCTCCTTTCTCTGTTACATAATATTCTTGAGAACATGTTCTGTGGTGCTGCCTGGGTGTTTGTGAATTGCTTTAGTGGGTGCTTTCTGGAGGGCCAGTATTTCTCAGTCTGTTTTAAAAGGTAACATTGCTGGATATAATGATTCTGGGTAACTGTTACTTAAGGGTTTGGCATATATTGTTCACTTCACTGGCTTTCTAGGTTTCTGATGAGAAGTTTGATGATACCCTGATGGGTTCCCCTTTGTGAACTGGCCAGTTTCTCCTGCTGTGTTCAATGTTGTTTCTTTGCTTTGTTGGCTTAGTGTTTACTTATAACCTGTGACGGTGAGTTTCTTTTCTGACCACATCTGTGAGCTGAGCTCCTAAATACCTTTTGTGCAGAAATATTCATTTGCTTTTCTAGCTTGGAAGAACTTTGTGCTATGATTTTGTCACACCGACTTTTGATGTCATTCATTTGTGACTCTGTAGACTGTCAGTGTCTTGATCATGTCCGAGTTCTTCAGAGCTGTTGCCGTGCTTACTTATTTTCCTTTATTTATGTCTGGATGTATATTTCCTCAACCCTGTCTTCAATTACAAAAATATTTTTTCTGAAAAAAAATATCTAGTCTATCAGTGATGATTTCTGCTGTCGTTTTGTCTGATTTATTTATCTCCTGAATTACTCCTTGTTGTTGTTGTTTTTAATCACAACCTATTTCCTTACTTCATTCACTTGCTTATTTGTACCATGTTGAAAGCTACTGATCAGTTTTCCAAGTAGAGTTTTAAATTTCAGTCTCCTTGGACTCTGATTGAGGAGCTGCCTTCATGTTTTTTGTTCGTTTGTTTGTTTGTATTTTGTGGATGCTGCATATCACTTGAAATAGGTAACTTTCCCAGGTTTGTTTGAGCATCTTCTTAGTGAGCACCCTTCTCTTGAGGGATCAACTTCCAGTACTTCTCAAAGAAGAAAAAAAAAATCTGTCATGCTGGCAACAATAGGAAACTTTCTAGAAATACACTCAAACCAACTAAAGCCAATTACTATGCTATTACCAACCATAGAAAAGAGAGTGGGGAAGTGATACAGAATAAGGTGTGAAGTTAAAATTTATTTAGTGTAAAAGTAGAATGCATGATTGAATGAAAGAGGGCTGGGCAGAGCTAGGGGGGTAAAAGTGCCCACCCCGAAGCCTAGGAATCCAAGTTTCAATGCCCAGAACCAATTTAAAAAGCCAGATTAGTACCATGAAGGTCTATAATCAGTGTTGCCTTGGGAAAATAGAAAGTGGAGACAGATTCCCAGAAGTCTGGGGGCCAGTTAACCTATTATGCACATCAGAGTCACTACAGAGAAACTGTGTGTTACACAGCTAGAGGCCGGGACCCATACTCCTTCAGGGTTGTTCTCAAAACTCCATATTTAGTGTATGTTTTATACCTAGTGCACACTCACACAAGCATGCACACACATACACTTTATACAAAACAAATGGATAATAGATAGATAGATAGATAGATAGATATAGATAATTATAGGTAGATAGATAAAAGAAGGAAGAAAATGCTATGATGTAGGAGAGGAAAACCAGAAGAAATTTTTTAAAATATCTGATTATACCATAAGGTAAAATGCACAGATAAGAATTAAAAGGGAAACAGAAAATCTTTTTTAAAAACACACACAGAGAAAGTATGGTAAAAAGGAAAATCAGAAATAACAGAACAATTTTAACAACAAAACATAGGAATAACCTCTTGGATTCCTAATGTTGGAATCTTGTGGGAGGAGGGATGGTCTGTTGTTCTTGAGCAGTTCCCCTTTCACACTGTCCATTCTGGTACAGAACCTGAACCATCTTAGGGTAGTTATCCTATAGAGCCAGCTTCGCCCTAGGAGCTTGCTTCATTAGGAGTTTGCTTCATCAGGACCTTGCTTTTGCTCTGTGCCTGAGGCCACTTTATAGCTGCAACCAGGCAAATTCTCAGTTGCTCCAGATCCTCCTGTTCATACATCTGAGATGCCTGATGTCAAGGCCACAATGTCTTCTGATTACACTCTAGAGTGGGGGAAAGCAAAAGGGCCTTGAAGTCTGTGCTGGAGACCAGTCAGCAATCAACACCTGTAGGAAGCCAGGAAAGCTGAGAGCTGTGCTCTAGATGCATTCTTGATCTCACTCATGGAGAACCGTGAAGGAGGTATCTGACTAACTCGGAGTCAGGGCTCTAGGCTTTTAAAACTATCCTCAGGTGACAGGTTATGCTCTTTGTCATAAAAGACAGGTGGGTGTCTCACCACTGTGTCCTTCACAGCCTGAGCCTCTGGCACCTGAACTTATCCACGTGTCTGTGACAATTCACCCACTTCAGGACAGCCTCATGCATTGTCCTCCTACCCAGGAGCTGAGACACGGCCCACCCTGGCCCCTGACTTTATGACTGCTTGTTGTTTCTAACAAAACCTCAGCCTTTCAGTTTTACCAATGAAGACTCAGGATCCAGATGCTGGGGTGAAAGCCTGCTAGCTCACAGAGGCAGAGAAAGTGCCCAGCTGACCTTCCTCCTCAGGCAATACCCAAATGAATTCTTCTTGCCCACCATCTCAAAAACCCTCTAATTGAATGTCCCTCCCTTCTACTTTCTGTCTGTCTCTGTATCCATCCTTCTGACTTCCTCTTATTCTCTATAGTTTTTCCCTATCTTCACTCCCTGACAACTGGTTGCTTGATCCACCTCTTGACCTATGGTTGATTTATTTTAATTCAAACAGAAAGCTCTTGGATTAAAAGTGTGTGTTAGGGCTGAGCCACACCACAACTACAAACAGGTTTTAAACAACATAATTTCTGAGTTCACAGTGTGATCAAATAATCTGTGATAAAATGTTACTCTTTCTTTTCATGCCCCCAGAGAATCTCAGTCACAATTATTCCCACCTCTTTACTGACAACACCTGCCTATAGCCCTCCAAGAATCAAGGAATGGGAAAGTGGATTTCCACTCCAATGTTTGCTGTCACAGGGGCTGACTCACTATCTCACACGAGTCCTCAGCTGGATTTAAGACTCATGGGAACTGCGGGCTTATCCAATGGCCAGGATGGTTGCTCTCTTCACCTTGCCCACCCAGCTTTCTCTCCCCAGAAGTGACCTGGGGCTGGAGCCACAGCCTGCCTTTTCAGTTTTCACTGCCTATCCTTGTTCTCTGTGTTTTCTAACTATCTATTACTTCTCTTGTATTCCTGGGGCCCTTCCTTCATTTTTTCACAGCATTACAAGGAGGCAGCTTCCAATCTGCCATCTTGAACCCTGAAATATAAAAATCCGGACAGAGATAGACAGAAAATACTCACTTCAGAATGATCCTGACTAAGAAATGTAGACGGGACAATGGAGAGAGAACACTCTGGCTTTATGGTCTCCAAAATTGGACTGGATGAAGCAAAGATGAGGGAGGGATGAAGTTTTAAGGTCTGTTGTCTAGACTTTTCAGACCCTCATGACTGAAAGAACTGTCCAAGTTTGTGCTTGGCTCCGTAGTGTGGTCAGGCTCAGAGGGACAACCCAACTCCATGTTAGAGTGGCCTGTCTCTGCAGCATGATTTTGGTGAGGCAGTCATTTCATGCATGAGGATCCAAGGGCTTCAACCAGGGGCAGCCCATCTCCACAGGGACCCAGGGCTGCCCTTTCACCACAGGCACTCAGATATACCCTATCTGTGAGATACACTGGGAACAGCTTTTACTCCAGAGACCTGTAAGCCAGCTGAACACGAGGCTACAAATTGATTGCTATATGACATTCCTCATTAACCACATCTCACTAACCCAGAATGGGAGGCTTTGTAGGCAGTTCTGTCAGGGAGGAGAGAAAAGGAAGAAGAGAAGGCACATCGCAATCTGGTATCAGATACTGTTGTGTGACAAAATTTTTCCTGGTGAGATGCAATGCATTCCAGTTAGGGATCCTACACTCAGTCAAAGTAAGATACACACAAAGGTCATCTTGGTTTATCAAAGAGTTTGGTTGGAGTTCCTTAGAAGAGTATGGGTGAGGGGCTACTTGCAGTAACAGAAATGATTCAAAGAGAGCTACGCCACTAAGCCTCCCAGCACCGGTGACAGCTCACAAAAGCTGGGAACCTGGAGCACACTGCACAGCCTGCAGGAAGCTCAACAGAGAATGTCCTTTCCAAGTGACACTGGCTTAGGCCTCTTCTAGGTGTTATGGTTTTGAGACCACCAGGGAAAGACCACCAAACAAAATTTAAACTTAAAAGATAAACAATTTTATTTATATCAACTTTGCAACAACTTTGTCAATTGGAGAACTGCTGCAAAAAAGGAAGACTGGGCTGGAGTTGTTAAAGGCGCAAACTACAGTTGTCTCAACCTCAGGGATTTTCTGCTGAATAGGCATTGCCATATTTACTTTGTTTTGTTTTCTGAGCACGCAGCAGTAAAGTGAGATTAAAGCAGCAGAATGAATGTCTGGTTAATAGTTTATGATAAATAAATCCCAGCACTCAAAGAGGCAGAGAGAAGTGGATCTCTGTGAGTTTGAGGCCAGCCTGGTCTACAAAGTGAGTCCAGGATAGCCAAGGCTACCCAGGGAAACCCTGTCTCAAAAAACCAAAACCAATGCAAAACAAACAAACAACAACAAAACCAATTACACAATAAGGGGAAATGAGCCAGGTGGTCCTGAGCTCAGTCTCTTTAGATTGCTGTTAAGCCTCAACTGTTGATGAGGTTGTGATCTAGACATCCTGTGGCTACAATCCTTAGGCTAAGAATAAGGTCCTGCTGACCCCCAGGTTTTTCTTTTTCACACAGTAACTTAATTTGACACTCAGTTTGAAATGGAGCTAGTTTTTACCAATGCACAGGCAGCTCTGCTGGCTTCTACTTCTTCTGAGACCTGCTTTGGTCTCAGTCTTTTTTGCAGCTTGGCTTGTACTCTAGCAGAGAGGTGCCTAGAGAATCTGGTAGGCTTCAGCTACTTCCTGAAGCTACTTATGTCGTTTACTTTTCTGTTTAAAGAGTTTTCCTGGGGCTGGAGAAATGGCTCAGAGTTAAGAGCACTGTCTGCTCTTCCAGAGGTCCTGAGTTCAAATCCCAGCAACTATATGGTGGCTGAAAACTACATATAGTGGGATCTGATCTCTTCTGTCATGCAGGCACACATGCAAATAAAGTGCTTATATGTATAAATAAATAAATCTTAAAAAAAAGAGAGAGTTTTCCTGCAGGATGGAATGTTTCAGTCTCAGAGGAAACTGTTACAAAGCACTTTCTTAGTCCTTTGACAACCCAGCACTGAACTCAGAGGAAACTCTGAAGAAGAAGCCCTAATCCCTGAGAGCAGCTTTGCATTCCTGACCTCCCTGACTTTGCTTTTACTCCCTGAGCTCTGGGATGCTCCATTGGGTATGACCTTTTCCATTCCAAGAGAGACATAGTCCCACTTCACTGAAGTGTCGAGGCTGTCCTTTATGTCAGTTAGATAGGCAGTCCTGATGAGGCTTAATGGGCAGATGGCAGAGGAGGAGAACTCCCCCTTTCAGGGGACTAGGGATAGGGGAGGAAGGATGGGGCTGAGAGAAGTTGAAAAAGGGAGCTTCAATTGGGATGTAGAATAAATAAGTTGTGAAAAATAATTAAAAATTAAAAGAATAAGGCCACTTCCATGCATGTCTTCTGGAGCTTTCCCTACCATCCCACAACCTGGCCACGCTGGATGAATAAAGCTCCCAGAAGCCCTCTTGTTAAAGTGAGGGGACTGGCCAGTGTCCATGAAGGGAATCTCGGGTCATCCATCCTCAGCTGCTCAGGTGACTGTGAGCTCCAGTAGCTTGTGTCTTTTACTCATTCTGTCTAATTTGCCAGATGTGTTCTGTGAAGCCATTCATAGCATCACCCTTTCTGTCTTCAGGGAGAACCTGTGGCAACACCAGGGTCATTCCTCTCCTGTGGCCAACATGTTCTCTTTTCTTTGCCATCACTCCTCCTCCTGCTCACTGCCCTTTCCCTTCCTCCCTCCCACACCCACTCACTCAGTCACTCTCCCTCACCCAGCCTTTCCCATCAAGGAAAACATTTTTGTATGCAACATCTCTGCCTGGGAGAGCCCCAGGAAGCCACATACTGTTGAGAAGTTCAGAGATGGCTGACACCACCTGACACCCAGGCCTGAAAGACAGTGGGACAGTCTTGGTTGTCAACACTCAGACAGATTATGAAATCCAGAGGGCCTCACGATGGCCCGGCTGTTGGTGTCTACCTCCCATCCGTGTGCTGAGGCCCAAGCTCAGGGAGGAGGGGTTAGGAGCAGGGCCTTTCAGAGATGCAGGCCCCATAGTGGACTGGTGGTTTTGAGTGGGCAGAGGACACCAGGTTCTTCCCTTCCACCATGTAAGGACACAGTGGGTCACAGCCATCTGAGACCCAGGACGTGGTCTGCCAGCTGTTTGACCTTGGGCTCTCAGGGCTCTGAACTGTGAAATCAATTTCTGTTTATGTGCCACGTAGCCTATGTTATTTTGTTCTCTGAGCCAAGTCAAACTCTGAGGAGGCACTCCCAGAATGCCCTTAGCCAGAAGCTCACAGGGCACAGGCCAGGAACAAAGCAGACTGGAACTAATTAACGGACAAGATGGAAATTTTCGCAAATGGATGAAAAGCAACTGCTATGATTCTGCAGCCTGGTCAAAAGCTAGAGACTTGCAGGTAAGTGAAGGCAGGGTGACTTTATGGGTGTCAGGATAAGAAAAAAAATAGAGGTGACTTAGGATCAGAGTGTCGTGAAGGGGCTGTAGGCGTCACGTCGGGCAGTGAAGGTGGCAAAAAGAAGTCCCTGAAAGAGACCAAGAAGCAGGTCAAGGACATGGATGAGAAAGATGAGGCTTTCAAGCAGAAACAGAAAAAGGAGCAGAAGAAACTTGAGGATCTAAAATCCAAGGCCGCGGGGAAGGGTCCCCTGGCCTCAGGTGAAATTAAGAAATCTGGCCCAAAGTAAGCTATTGCTCATATCCGAGGCTGTGGGGAGCCTCTTCCACTCTGTTGGAACATGTGGATCCCCTGCCCTAACATCTTTGCCACCTACAGCCAGAAGGAAGTGTTATCCTGGAGCTTACTGTACATTGTAATAAACTTTGGTGATAAAATAAAATAAATAATAAAAAAGAAAAAATAGAGAGCGATGCTATACAAAGAGAGAAAGCGAGCACTCATTTAGATACCCATAAAAGTGGTGATGGGACAGCTGGAAATTATGTAGAAACAGAAGGCTGAGATGCAACAAAAGGAAGAAAGCTGAAGGGCTTTCTTCAGCTGAGCATGAGGAGCATGGCCCTGGCAGGCCTTGCCCTTCTCCCCCATCCCCTCTGCCTTGCTAAAAACTGTTAAATTACATCCCTAAAGCTAGCCACCAAGGTCCATTGCATCACTTGAACACTTCCTCCTTCTGAGGCTGACCACCAGGGTCCAGCTATCACAGTATGGAAGTCCAGCACTCAATAGCCCCCTTTGGCTACCCTAAGTAGCATGCCCAATCAAAATTAAACACCTTCCCACCCCACCCTGAAACACCCCTTTCTGCCCTGGGACAAATATCCCTTGTTCCTTTCCCCTTTCTCTTGTCCTGTATATCCTGTCTTTGTCTCATTTTCCCTGCTCTTTGTTTCTCTGGGGCAAATAAATCTCCTTTGTGCTGGGAACGTAGTCTCAGGGTGTCCTGAGCCAATACCAGTCCCTTTCAAAAGCCAAGCCAAACACTGCTCCAACACTGTGGCTCCCTGTGTTGGGAGGTGTTGGAGACTCAGCCAAACATGAGCCAGGTGACCCTGGTGCAAAGACCCTGGCAGTTCTACCCAAGCACAAGCTCGCAGCTCACACAAGCCTCAAGCCCAGCTGCTGATCTTGTTGAGAACTGCTGGGCCAGATGTGGAGAGCGGTGACTCAGCTCTGAGGGCTGTGGCCAGGAGCCATCCTTCTTTAAACCTGAGCTAGCTTGGAGGTCAACAACAGGGAACCATCACAATGCAGGGACCTGGATTTAACCTGCCACAGAGCTCCAGGGTGAGAGCTCCTGAGGCAGCTGGGCCCAGGCACTGGAGTGCATGGAAAAGGGACTCCACCCTGTCTGCCTGGAGCTGGCCTTATCAACTGGGAATAAGCTGGAGTTTGAGAGCACTGAGCCTGGGCCAGCAGCTGTATCAACTCCTAGCTTCAGGGTCCCAGTGGAGTCTGAGGTCCCTGAAGCTGCAGTGCTCTGCTCTGCACTCCAGCCACAGCCTCCAGTTTAGGGCTTTGATCTGAGCCCCGAGCCTGCTTGCCCCAGTCCACACACCTGGGAGACACTCCCCTCATGTCAGCTAGAACTTGAGCTTCTCCTGGGTGAAGAAACTGAGGAAGTTCAGGAGGGTGAGGGAGTAAGAGGGCCTGCCCAGCACAGACTGCAAAGCCAAGTGTGGCCAGCAGGGGCCCCTGGTAAGCGCTCAGGGACAGTGCCAAAGTGATGGCAGTCTGGTCTAGACTTTGCCATGCAGGAGCAGCACCAGCCTAAACTGTAGGAGGGACAGGAGTCCACAGTTCAGCTGGCCATCCCAACCCAGCAGTCTACAAACATACAGAAAGAAGACACACCAATACTTTGGCGTTTCTTTCCTGCCTCTTTCTCTCACTATACTTCAGTAGTATCTTTAATTTAAAAATCATGTTCATGGTTTACAACCCCTTCATCTATTTATCTAATTTTGTTTATGCATTTGGTTCATTATTGGGCAATCTTTTTGCCTTTTCCTCTTTTGTTTTTGCTCAATCATTTTGCTTTTCCTTTTTGGTTACATAAACTTTCCCTTTTTCTTATTTTTATCATACTTTTAGCAGTTTTTTTTTTTTTTTTCCTGTAGCTCCTTGACTTTTCATTTTATTTTGATAGATTTTTATATGGCTATATTTTTTAGCGTGGGCTCAACATATTTGCCAATTATTTTTTTTCTTAAAACAATTGAAAAGAACCAACTTTTACAAGAAAAATATACTTTTATACTTCATATTTTAAGATCTTGTATAACTGATAAAATGCTTTATTGGAGTTATTTACATTTAAGGGTCCACTAGACGTTGGAAATTTAATAAACTTAAAAGTTTTTTTCTTTTAAACAAATACATCTGTTAAGGGGGGTGACGAAGGATGACAAGCTTAAAAAAAGAAAAGGGGAGAGGGGTTCTTTTATGCCCAGAATTTGAGGCAGTTAACATGGCTGAAGCTTACAGTCCCAAGACCAGTGCTGTGCGCTCAGGTGTTGGGGGTGCAGTCTGGAGAGGTGGCAGGGTCGGTGTCCGCCGCCGGGCTGCCGCTGGGGCCTTCTTTGCGCACAGCGTGGTAGGGGTCCAGCTTGGAGACCAGCTTGGTGGAGGCCGAGACACCGTTCCACATACAGTCCCGTAGGATGATGTTCTTCACGAAAGTCTCGTCGTCCGTGTCGCAAACGAAGCTCTGCCTCACCGCGTCTCCTGCTGGCAGCTCGGGCACCATCTCCCTCAGGTCTGCGGTGGAGAAGCTATCATCACCGTGGTTCTTGGGGGAGAGAGACACGGCGAGCGCTTGGCAGGAAGGTGAGCAGAGCCCGGCGTGGCCCGGGGACGGGCGCGGCGTGGGCAGCAGCTCGAATTTCTTCCAGATGTCCTCGCTGGGCGCAGGCGGCTGCGGCGGCTGCTGGTGCACGTCCTCCTCCTCATCGTCACACATGAAGTACGGCTGCACAGAGTCGTAGTCCAGGTCGCGGTTGCCGTTGGCAAGGCTCACGTGGAGGGGCATGGTCGCGGCTGTGCGTTTGAGGGCCACGGCGATGGGAGCAGGGCGGGCGCGGAAACCTGGCGCGGTGCGCATCAGCCCCGAACCACTCCCCTTCCCAGGGCCTCACTTCCTACTATCCCGACAGTCCCTTCTCCAGGCCTCGGTCTCCGTCTGGAGCAGAGGGAGGAGGCGTCAGCTAGTCGCCAGACGCGGCGCTCAAAGTATCGCGCCATCTGACGGAGAGAGCCTACAGGAGCCGCATCGTGCGTGCACAGGATACATTTTCATGCGCGCACATAACCTTCTTCAGCATATTCTCACTCATTTCCTGCTATTTTCTACTCCTCCACCTCCCTTAGTCCTTTGTTCACCCAGTTTCTCCTCTACGTTAATGTCATCTGTAACATGTATGATTTTATGTATCTTTAAAATCTGAAACCCACGGATGAGAGAAACAAAGATATTTGTCTCTGAGACGGACTAAATTCATTTAAGACGACCACCTCCAATTCCATTCTTTTCCTGAAAATGACATGCTTTGTTTTTATTTATGACTGAAAATATTCCATTTCTGCGTATGAACCACATCTTCTTGCTCCGTCCCTCTGGTGACGGACACCTTCTCTCCATAACAGCTATTGTGAAAACTTCCATGATAACTACTGTGCACATATCTCTATGGTGTACTTGCTTCATGTCTTCCTTAAGGGTTTTCTTAAAGCTATGCTATTTTTTTAACTTTTTTTCTTTTTTTTTAACTTTTATTAATTACACTTTATTCATTTTGTATCCCCCCATAAGCCACTCCCTCGTTCCCTCCCGGCCCCCCCCCCCTTTCTGCATGCATGCCCCTCCCCAATTCCACTGATGGGGAGGTCCTCCTCTCCTTCTTTCTGATCTTAGTCTATCAGTTCTCATCAGAAGTGGCTGCATTGTCAGGGTTCTAGGTTATCTCCACGGATAGTCCTTGGTTGGATTATGAGTCTCTGGGAAATTCCCTGTGTTCAAATTTTCTTGTTCTGTTGCTCTCCTTGTGGAGTTCCTGTCCTCTCCAGCTCTTACTATTTCCCACTTCTTACATAAAATTCCATTCACTCTGCCCGTCAGTTGGCCATCAGGCTCAGCATCTGCACGGCAGTCTGCACGGCAGAGGCTTTCAGAGGCCCTCTGTGGCAGGTTCCGAGGTTGTTTCCTATTTTCTTTTTCTTCTGATGTCCATCCTCTTTGCCTTTAAAGGATGGGGATTGAGCATTTTTAGTTAGGGTCCTCTCTTTTGCTTAGTTTGTTTAGATGTTCAGATTTTAGTGGGTTTATGTTATTCTATGTTGTATGTTTATATGAGTGAGTATATACCGTGTGTGTCTTTTTGCTTCTGGGACAACTCACTCAGGATGATCCTTTCCAGGTTCCACCATTTACCTGCAAATTTCATGATTTCCTTGTTTTTCATTGCTGAGTAATAGTCCATTGTATAGATATACCACAGTTTCTGCATCCATTCTTCAGTTGAGGGGCATCTGGGTTGTTTCTAGCTTCTGGCTATTACAAATAAAGCTGCTACAAACATGGTTGAGCAAATGTCCTTTTTCTGTACTTGAGCCTCTTTTGGGTATATGCCTAGGAGTGGTATGGCTGGATCTTGAGGAAGCGCTATTCCTAGTTGTCTGAGAAAGCACAAGATTGATTTCCAGAGTGGTTGTACAAGTTTATATTCCCACCAGCAGTGGAGAAGGGTTCCCCTTTCTCCACAACCTCTCCAGCATGTGTTGTCACTTGAGTTTTTCATCTTGGCCATTCTGATGGGTGTAAGGTGAAATCTCAGGGTTGTTTTGATTTGCATTTCCCTAATGGCTAATGAGGTTGAGCATTTCTTTAAGTGCTTCTCTGCCATTCGATATTCCTCTACAGAGAATTCTCTCTTTAGCTTTGTTCCCCATTTTTAAGTGGATTACTTGGTTTGCTGCTTTTCAGCTTCTTTAGTTCTTTATATATACTGGATATGAGTCCGCTGTCAGATAAAGGGTTGGTGAAGATTCTTTCCCAATCTGTAGGCAGTCGCTTTGTTTTGATGATGGTGTCCTTTGCTTTACAGAAGCTTTTCAGTTTCATGAGGTCCCATTTATTGATTGTTGCTCTTAGAGCCTGTGCTGTTGGTGTTCTGTTCAGGAAGTTTTCTCCTGTACCAATGAGTTCTAGGGTATTCCCCACTTTTTTTTCTAGCCGATTTAATGTGTCTGGTTTTATGTTGAGGTCTTTGATCCACTTGGACTTCAGTTTTGTGCAGGGTGATAAGTATGGATCTATTTTCATTTTTCTACATGTAGACATCCAGTTGAACCAGCACCATTTGTTGAAGATGCTATCTTTTTTCCATTGTATGGTTTTGGCACCTTTGTCAAAAATCAGGTGTCCATAAGTGTGTGGGTTTATTTCTGGGTCTTCTGTTTGGTTCCATTGATCCACCATTCTGTTTCTATGCCAGTACCATGCAGTTTTTATAACTGTTGCTCTATAGTACAGCTTGAGATCAGGGATGGAGATATCTCCAGAAGATCTTTTATTGTAGAGGATTAGCTATGCTATTTTTAAAGATTTATTTATACTAATTTATGTGTATGCGTGATTTGCCCTTGCATATGTAAATCTATCACCTGAATGCCCAATGCCCATGGAGACCAAAGTGGATGAGAGATCCCCTGGAACTGGAGTTATGACACTGTGAGCCTCTATGTGAGTTCTGGGAACCAAACCCAGTACCTCTGCAAGAGGTCTCAATGGCAGAGACAATTCTCCATCCCATGTGTTTGTAATGAATATATGATGATTGCATCTGGAAGTGGCACCTGTAATTTTTCTAGAGCATAGATACAAATACGAGTGGGTTACCCATTAAATTTAGGCATAAAGCAAAATTCTTAAATACTTTGTGATTAAATGTTACGTAATGTCAGGCAGTCAAGGCAGCTCATGCATTGGAAAGCTGAGGCAGGAGGATTACTATGACTGGGCTACATAGTGAGTTCCAGGACACCCTGGACTTCATAGTGAGGACTTTCCTCAAACAAACAAGAAAACAAGAATTCCATAGTATGGAATTCTTGTAGGGCACGGTGGCATACTCCTGTAATCCCAGCTCTTGGGAGGCAGAGGCAGGCAGATCTCTGTGAGTTTGAGGTCTTATCTACAAAGGGAGTCCAGAACAGCCAAGGCCACAGAGAAACCCTGTCTTGAAAAACAACAACAAAGAAAATACATGGTGCAGAATTCTTAAAAATCAAAAGATCTAGTTTTATTTTCCCTTTCTTTCCTTATTCTATAGAATAATATTCAAATATTTAGAAAGGAAAAATAAATGATTTAAAGAACATTGATAAAACATATGATTTCTGAACAATATATTCTTATAGCTCTTTGAGGTCTGCATTAAAGTTATAAATGTGTGGGGCTGGAGGGATGGCTCAGTGGTTGAAAGCACTGGTTGCTTTTCCAGAGGACCCACACCCACATGTTAAAAAAGACCAACTTTAAAATATAATAACTTGGCCTAGAGAGATGGCTCAGTGATTAAGAGCACTGTCTGTTCTACCTAGAGGTCCTGAGTTCAATTCCTAGCTACCACATGGTGGGCTCACAACCATCTATACTGAGATCTGGTGCCCTCTTCTGGCATTCTGGTGTACATGTAGAGGAGCACTCATACATAATTTATAAAAAAAGGACAATAACCTAATATTTTGTGTTTACCATTAATTTTTCAGGGTTTATATTTTTAAAACATTGTTTCCATTTTTGTATTTATTTATTCACTTTATATTCTGTTAGCACCCCCTCCCTTCTCTCCTCCCAGCCCCATCCTTAAGCCTCTCACTCCATCTTCCCTCCCCTAGGTACTAACCCACCCCAGCACATTAAGTTGCAACAGGACTAAGGGCATCCTCTCCCACTGAGGCCAGACAAGCCAGTCAAGCTAGGGGAGAGGGATCCAAACGCAGGCAACAGAGTCAGACAGCCCTTTCTCCCATTGTTAGGGGGCCCACATGAAGAGCAAGCTGCACATCTGCTACATATGTGTGTGGAGGGTCTTAAATTTTTTTAATGATTTATTTATTATTTTTATTTGCTTTTTTTTGCCTACATGTATGTCTGTGTGAGGCTGTCATATCTGCTAGAACTGGAGTTACATACTTTTGTGGGTTCTGAGAATGGAACCCTGGATCTCTCAAAGAGCAGCCAGTGCTCTTAACCACTGAGCCATCTCTCCAGCCCAAAAATTTGTTATTTGTTTCTAAGACAGTCTCACTATGAGCCTCTGGCTGTCCTGGACTCACTCTGTAGACCAGGCTGGCCTAGAACTCACAGAGAACAGCCTGCTTCTGACCCCCAACTGCTAGGATTAAAGGCGTGTGACACCACCCCCTAGGGTTTTAATTTTAATGAGATTTTATTTGAAATTTTTTCTTTTGGCTGGAACCTTTAATGTCTATTTTGAGATGTAATTTGAGAGCCACCAACACAGTACATATTGTTAAACTTAATAGCGATTCTCCCCTGAGAATTTTGGGTATGTTTTATTCTTTCCCTGAGTTTATAACATCTGTGTAAATGTAATCTAATAAACTGTGACACTCCTATAAAGTCCACTCTCAGGTGTGCCTGTATTCTCTTCTTGAACAAATCACCACCATTGCCTCATACTGGCTCATCCTAACATTCTCTACATTGAAACGGATTACCCGTGTTTGGCCTGAGTCAAGGGCCCCCAGATAAAGGAACTCCTCCGGCTGCCTGGGTGGCAGCCCAGAGCTGTACTGTGTCCCATGTCTGCCATGACACTTGTGTGGAATCCGTAGCAGGCGCCTCTATGGCCAGCCCCCAAGAAACCTGATAAACCAGACATCAAGAATCTATGAGGCCACCATGGACCACCTGCAACCACCTGCTCATGTGCTGGGTCACCTTATAAGAGGACTCATCCCTCCCCCTCTCTCTCCCTCCCCCATTCCTCTCCCTCGATCCTCCCTCCTCCACCTTGCCCAGAGATGGTCTCTGTGTTCCCCCTGCCCTGATAAATCTCCCACATTGAACTAGTGGCGTGGTGTGATTTATGAATCTGCCTTATAACTCTGCTGCACCATCCTAACAACACTCACTACGTGACTCTAGCCACCTGCTATGTCTTTTGTCAGTTACAGTTTTGGTCTCTCTCTAAGGCATGTACAACCAGTCTAGTGAAAATACCTCCAAGGAGCACTTATTGTGCGCTCTTGCTGGTTCTGTTTAGCACTTTCCTTGTAAAGCTATGCAGATGTACAGCTTCGAACAGCCTGGCAAGCAGTGCTCTGATGCTAAACCCGGTCCACAAGACAGAGTTAACCTGAGGAGTGCACTCCAGGTAAACCAGCTAGCTGTGGTGCTTTCGTCACTTGTCAGTTGGTGGCAACCACAGAAGAGAACAGCTTCTGAGTGTGTCGGTACGGGTTGTCTGCATTAGGTTATTTGAGGTGGGTTTAACTGTCCACAGTGGGTTAGTCCATTCTCTGGTCTGGGATTTTTTTTTTTTTTAAGACAGGGTTTCTCTGTGTAGCCTTGGCTGTCTGGAACTCTGTAGATCAAGCTGGCTTCAAACTCAGAGATCCACTTGCCTCTGCCTCCCAGAGTGCTAGGATTAAAGGCATGTGCCACCAATGGCCGGTTGGTCTGGGATTCTGACTGTATAAAAAGAAAAGGTAAGTGAGCATCTATCAACCTATGTTACTTGTTTTAAAGTTTTTTAAATTACATTTTATAATTTACTTTATATGCATGTATGTATATATACATATAAGTACAAACTCACACACATATAGCATGGCCTCTGAGTAGACATCAAAGGACAACTTGCAGGAATCAAGGGTCTCCTTCTACCTGAGGACACTTGGGGTCAGGCTTGGGGACAAGCTGGTTTACCCTCTGAGCCATCTTGCAGGCCCAGTCTATGCCGCTTGATTGTGCATTCAATGTGACCATCTCCCTTCAGCTTCTGCAGCCTTGACTTCCTACCTGATGGACTGTGATCTGAAACTGAGAGCCAAAGCTTCCTGAAGTTGCTTGTGCCAGAGTATTTTATCACAGCAACAGAAAACCAACATCGTCTAAAGCTCTCCTCCTTCACAGGCTCTAGTTGCTTAAATTTGGTGACGAAAAAGCACCATTGGTACCAGCAGCGTCAGTCTGTGAGTGAGTAAAAACAGTAGCCATACACAGCCTGAACACTTGACTCAACCCCAGAAGCCATGTAAAATCGGAGAGAACTGCCTCCTTGAAGTCATATTGCACCTCAGCCTGGGCTTGTGCATTCCTCCATAACAGCATTTTCTAAGTGCCTTTGGCTCTATTTTGCTCTCTGCCCAACCTGTTAGATGTGATTAGACCAACTGAAAAAGCTCATTCCAGGTCACAAGGGGCAACAACCTTCAACAAACCACAAGATGCTTGGAGGTCAGTGATGTCTTTGAAGAGAATGGGTTCAGAGTTCAGGAAGGAGGAAGCTGTCCCTGCCAAACTTCAGTCTTTGGTGCTTTCCTTCCAGCAGTGATTGAGCCCAAGGAGCTTCAGAGAGGCTCCATGCTGGCAGCTGGCAGAAAGCTCTGTGTCCTGCTCTGTCCAGCGCTTCACACCAGGTCCAGAGGATCCCACCTAACTTCTCACGACTGACCCAGAGCCGGAAAGGGGGTGAACTCCTGTAATGTGGTGTGGTATCAGATTGCAATCTCTGCATATTTGGGCTTTAATTAGAAGTCTTCCTGATGTACTGATCACAAAAGAGAACATTATCAAGTACTTGAATTTGGGGCAGTTCTGGGGCCCACAGTTAAAGCCCATGCATAGTTCCTGTCTTGAGCAAAAAGAGAGCTTGGTATGTGTGATCCAGCCTGGCCCTCCAGTGTCCTAAATGCCTCAGGTCCCACCTGCCCTGCTGAGATGCCCCACCTTAGAAACACCCAATAGCTCACAGCAAGAACTAAGTCCAGATAAGAAAGGAATTCAGAGAGAACAATGAACCAGGTGGCAGTTAGACTGGAAGGTCACTAGCATGGTAACATGTTGGACATCCAGCTTCCCCTGGGATTTGTGCTTGGAGGCTATAGTGATCATCTGGGGTAGGGGCATCTTCTCATCTTCTCCCTCACTGTGGCCACCATGTCCCTATAAAGCCCAAACCTCGGACAAACTGGTAGAGGGCTGGAATAGGCACAGAGCTGGTAGAGGCCATGGCTGCTTCTTGAGGGAAGATGATGGAGGAACTAGCCATCTTTGCTCCACCCCTTCACTGAGCTCAGATTCTCAAGAAGGGGCTGCCAGTATTCCACCAAATCCTGCTGGAGCAGGAGCCTTGCACTGATGTTCACACTGTCTGAAGTTCTCAGTCTTGCCTCCCCAGGGGCTTCTCAGACACCCCTGCCAGGGTCCAGCCTGACAGTGAGTGACTCACCAGGTGGCGCTTCTAGGACCTCACTTGGGTCTACAGGGAACAGATGCCATGCCCCTTGGGCAGTGGTTGGGCAATGTCTCTGTGATTTTTTTTCCCCATGTCTCTGCCCCTGCAGGGCTGTTAGAACCCACACAGGGCCCTTCACAGACAGGCTGAGCCAGAGTACTGCTGAAGGAAAAGCTTTATTTAGAGTCATGTGGGGCTTGGGGAGGCCCAGACATGGGGAGACAGTAGGGAGTTTGATCCAGGAGACATGTGGCACAGGAATGTTCCAGCCAGGTGTTGGAAGCAAGGCTGGCTCAGCAGGTGCAGACCTGGATAGCTGCTGTGGTGAGAAGAGGAAGAGAGATAAGAGCCTCTCCCACTCTTTTGTGGGAGCAGCTGTCATGGAAGTTATAGGCAGGGATGGCAGAGGGCAGATGTGGGCCAGAGATCTTCTTCCTCCACATTTCTGTGGGTCCCAGCTCATAGTAGGGATCGCTTTGAAGCGATCTTTGCACTACTCCCAAGAGTAGTCTTGTAGAGAATGGAAAGGACAGAGACCAATTACAATCCTCCGCTCTACAAACTGAGCTAGCGAAGGCCCAGCTGAGAACAGAAAGGACAGAGACCAACGACTAGGAAAGATTGTGACAATAAGAAAGGACTTCCTATATGTCCTGGAAAGTACCCTTAGGGCCACCTCCTGAGTGACCACACCTGTCTATATGTATGGGACAAGGACCCTCCAGTTCTAGAGTCTGCCATTTTAGACTTTTCCACAGTCCAATGGGGAGGAGGGACTTGGGGAAGGTATGAAGGAGACTTACCCTAGTCACTTTCAGGCTCACACTCTTCTGTAGGAACCAAAAGAAACACAAGAGTGAGAAGGGCCCTGTAAGAGGACCCCATTACACCTGTAGCTCAGCCCCTCCCACAGCCAAGGCCTGAAGCGGAAGCCCTGGCAACCCTGTGAGAGGGGAGGGACCTTGAAGGACCAGTACAGAAGCAGGGATACGCAGAGACCAGGCTAGACTGAAGCACAAGCAGAGGAGATTTTGAGGTACATGGAGGCACAGAGGGACACAGGGACCGAATGTCCTCTTTGTGACATTGAGTTATGGGGACACTGAGGACACAATGGGGATACCACCGAGGCACAAAGGAGACATGAAGAGATATGAAACTACACATGAGGGACAATAGGACCAGGCACAGAAAGGACACAGAGGACACACAGACATTGGTTGGGGATGTTGACAGTAAAGAGTGAGTGGGAGACAGAGAGAGAGGCATGGGCACTCCTCTTCTCACCTCTCATCTCTGGTACAAAGATGTTTTCCTGTGGGATTTTTTTTCGCTTTACAAATTCCTTAAATTCTTCCATGGCTTCTGGGCTTTCCTCAGAGTTTCTTCCTGTTGGGGTGGGAGGGGCAGGTTTGAGGGGTGGTGCTCAGTTCTGCAGAGAGCCAGTGACACAAGGATGGAAGTACTAACTAGCACAGAGGTTAGAGAGGACCCAGGCAGTAGAGAGGGAACTTCGGCATTTGGACAACCATGACACTGAGTGAGACTCAGGCCCAAGGAACAATCCCAGCAGGCCTGCAGTGTCACCACACAGGCCTCTAAGAGCTCTGAATTTCAGGGCCATGAGACTGTGCCCTGGCCCTGGAGGATTCCCTACCACAAAATGTCCCTACCAAGATATCCCTTTTACGTTCTCCTGACACTTGACTGAGATCCCTGGAAGTGGCATTTGCTGGCTCCCAGGGGTGAGAACCAATCCTGACTTCTCAGGCCTCCAAAGGCCACACAAGCCCCATCCCTACCCAGTTTTATCTACTTTCCACTTTGGATCTCACACATTTCCTGGGAAGCAACCTGGGTCCAGCAAGAGGCTTCCCAGTCCCCACGGCTAGAGACCAGGGACAGGACGTGGGGCCTCTATGGCACCTCACCCATGACCTTTCCCATGCCGAAGTGCTTCCCCTTGAAGTGGCCTTCACAGTAGAAGATGTAGTGGTCCTTTGTGTTGAGTTTTTCAATATAAACATGTCTCTTGCCATGGACTGCAAGTGAACAGAAATAGCTCTTAGTCTTGTTCCTTGAGACATCATTGAAGACCATGTGAAGGATCACCTTGGAACACTTTGGAGGTCACCCACAAGACCTAGCTAGTCTCATCCTTGCCTTTTTGTGGTCCCCTTAGTTAGACAGGAGCCATCTCCCAGGAAGCTGCCAGGCCCAGGTGAGGAGTTCACAGAAGGTGGGGGCTGAGGTTGGTCCCAGGCCTGAGTACCTCTCTGTCTGGCTTTCCTGTCTTTGGTTCTTCTTGGGTCAAAAGCTGAGCTGGGTAGCCAAGCAAGAATCAGTCAGTTTCTAGGACTGAGCAGCCAGTGACCTCTACTACATGGAAAGTGAGTGACCTAGAAGCTGGACTGGACGGGGACCTATCCACCCAAGGGCTTGCCACTGCAGTACTTACAGGTAACATATTTGTTAGGCTCCTCAGTTTTCTCCATTTTGAATTTAAACTCATGGCACTGACCCTTCTTCCTATAAAACACAAGGCCACAGGAAGCCGCTCTCATCAACGTAACTGAGGCTTGCTCACCTCCTTCGGTGTATCAGGTGATCAACTAAATTCTATGACTCCTGTTCCAGTTTTAAGGTACTGCCTGGGACTATGCCCCCTCAAAGGTGGGAATCTTTTTGTAGATAGCAAGGGAGGGAAAAACTACAGAGACCCCACAGTAGGAAACACACTCACCATATGATAATTTTGACCTCCAAGTTTCCTTCTTCCAGGGCTGTTATGGTCACAGGGAAAACCCTTTCAGGTATCTTGTTTTTTGGCAAGGTCCCATTGTGTACCATGCCCTTCATGTACCAGGTCCCAGAGAACTGCGGGAGACAAAGCTTTGAGCACACCCAAGCCTGCCCCTGATCCTACCCCAGGCTCCAGCATGTGAGCTAGCACCGGAATAGACACTCCAGAGCCCAGGCTGCAGCCACTGAGGTGGGGCTAAACCTAAATGTCCCAAGACCTATGGTCAACAGAGAGATACTAGTGCTTTGGTAACCCAGAAAGTGTCTGTCCCCACCTCAGTATATGAACTCTTTGAGGTCTATACCTCAGCACTGGACAAATCCTCTGCCCTGAATGTTCTGCTCTAAGACACCTTCTAGCTCTGGGTGTCACTTGAACAAGAACATTTCACCAGAATCTGATTTTCAACTCTAACCCCATGTCTCAGAAGGACCCCTGTCTTCAGGATGACCCCTGTCTTGTCTTCTGATTGAACTGTGGAATCCTTTATCTGACTGTTCAGCTGATGCATGGGGTCAAACTCTACCTTCAAGGACACATCCTACACCTCAGCTCAAATCTATGGCACTAAGTGGAAGGCCAGGCCTTGATCCTACTCCCACCCAGTGACCCCTCCTCACATCCTCCTTGTCATCTAGCAGGTCTTCCTGAGCCTTCAGGACAGCCACCAGCCCCAGAAGCAGGACAGTCAGGAGCAGGCTCTTCATCTCCAGTCCCTGCGCTCTCACACAGGGCAGATCACCTGGGGAGTCCAGACAAGTCTGCTCTGGCTCCTCACAGGTGCCCTTTAAATCCCCCATGGACAGGGACGTGTGCCCACTTGGCGCTAACCGTGTCCCTCCTGTCCTTCTATCATGGCCAAATCCACATCCATCATGGAGGAGGAAGGTTGTTGTTGTTGGGATCTGATGAATATCAACTGAGTGTCACCTACAGATGAAGAAAGACACAGTCTGTGCCACCCAAGTGCTGGGCTCACACACGCCCTGGGGGGATGAGTGACTCCATGCAGGGAGGTTGTACTTTGTGCAGGAGGAGGCAGGCTTCCCTTCTCACCCCTGCCCTCCATCTGCCCATGGCTGCCCTGAGCTGTGTTCCCTGATACCTGGCTCCTGACCTGAAAGGGGCTGAGCCTCACAGCCAGAGACCACCTGCTGGTTCCCAGATGGCATGACCCTTGCCTGGGGAGGAAGCCCACTTCATTGTCCTATCCTGCATGGATACTCCACCTGGCCCTTCCAGCAAGTGGGGACACAACTTTGTTACTCTAGTGAGTTTAAGGGGCCTGAGACAGGCTTAGCTATGAAGAGCACTCATTACTTTTGCAGACAAGCTGGGCTGAAGTCCCAACACCAACATGATGGCTTAAAACCACCCCTTACTTTAGGTCCAGGGTATTTGATGTTCTTTCCTGACCTTTGAGGGCACTCGATACACCATTGGTGCACATCTATAAATTCAGGCAAAATATTCACATACATAAAGTAAAATAAATGAATTACAAATTTAAACATCATCAGGGTAGACCCCATGCCGTACCAGGGAATACCATGACCCCTGACCCACTTGGTTCTGCACTGAGGCCAGCTGTGCTCTCTGAAGACCACCTTTTGTTTGGTTTTGTTTTGGTTTTTGAGACAGGGTTTCTTTGTGTAGCCTGGCTGTCCTGGACTGGCTTTGTAGACCAGGCTGGCCTTGAACTCACAGAGATCTGCTTACCTCTGTCTCCCCAAGTGCTGGGGTTACAGGCGTGTGCCAGCATACCCAGCTTTGCAGACCACTTCTTACTCTCAGATGTCTTGCTCCTTTTTCACTAACCAGACAATGGTGATAACTCAACCACCAGTTAGGGTTCAATTTCCATAATTAAGTTGTCTGTGTGAGCATTCCAGCCACACATTAGGGGTCATGAGTATTTGTCCCTGAAGGAATCAGTGAAGGGGGTTCACCTCTGTGAGCTCCAGGGGCTCCACTTCCAACAAGGGGACTTGACCTTCTGCTGCTCTTGTCATCTGAGGGCTGAGAGGACATTTTCAGAGCCAGGACTGCCCTGGTACAACTTAGGTCCACGTATGTTTGTTCTTTGCCATCTTTTGCCCTGAGGTGGGATGAGGAATCAGGGTCCATCTGGTCCGGAACCCACCCCTGTGCTCCTACCGTGCTCCTCTCCTCTGGAGTCCACAGCTTCCCTTCTCATGAGCTTTGAGCACCCACATGCTCTCACATGGCCAGAGCTCATTCCCTCTGGATAAATGGATGCACAAGGTACCACGAATGCACATGCCAGTCTGGGTTCTGAGTTCAGTGATGCCCTGGCTGCCCTTCTTCTGGCCTTAGCCCAATTTCCTTCCCAATAGGAACACAGCCTTCCACTCTGCACTCTGTAGTTCCTGGACTTGGACACCTGCCCTGAGACCCCAAAGGTCATCTTTGGAGACAGGTTTCAGTTCCTGAGGGGCTGTCCACACTCCATGGCTCTGGAGACACGTGTGGGTCCCACAGTGGCATCTTTGTGCCTTTCTGAACCTAAGGTGGACAGAATCAAGTATCCATAAACAACAGTGAGCTTTCTCTGACAATCCCTGGGCTGTGCTGAGGAGCTGGCATGGACCAGGTTTTCACCTCACTGTAGAAGGTGCTAAACAGGAAGCCTGACAGGCTGGGTGTGAGAGGGCGGGGCCAGTGCTCTTTAGGATCAGAGGTTTGGAAACAGGGTAGCATTTCTATATCACTGGAAAGGTCTCTGCACCTGCCAGGTTGTCTTTCATTATTGATCTCTAAGCACATCACCCCATAGGTGGATGCGTCTCAATCTTTGAACAGGAAAACAATATGCACTCATGATTAACAGAGCCAGGGACACACACTGCTGATTTGCGCTGTGACTGAAAGTTGAAGGCCAAACCTCACAGCCCCCTGAAGCTGTGGTAGACACTTCCTGACAAACCGACGGCCTCACAGCTTCCCAGGCTAGTGCCTACTTCTCCCCTTTTCCCTAATGTACAGCCTTGATGAGCACAGGTGAAATAATTAATATATTGTCATGTTTGGATCTGAAGTATCCTCCACAGGTCCCTGTGCTGAAGACTTATTCACCGCTAGTGGCTCAACTGGACATGTTCTGCAGACTGAAGCATAATGCTGGTAGAGATGAGTCACAGAGAACACATCCTTCAGCTAAATCTCACGCTGGCATATTCTTACCAGGCTGAGAAAGACAAATTTTGCATGTTTTCTTCATGCACAGAATGTGTGACATAAAAGTACAAGTGACCATGTACACAAAGGTAGAGTCTGAAAAAAGGGACAAGTGAAGATAATAGTAGAAAGACAAATATCACAAGTTCTCTCTCATGAAGAATCTATCTATCTACAAATATTGGGCATATTTGTACATATCTACTTCAGAGCTCTGTCTTTTGTCTATCCCATTGAACTCTAAACATATAAAGCCATCACACTGGCCTCAGTGGAGCAAAATAGCTTTCTATCAAGACCCAGGCCACTAGAGGTTCCCAGTGAATGTTGGAGGTTCCCCAGCTAGCCCTCTGCACGGGGAAGCAAGTGTGCCTTTCTCTGTTTGCTGTCCCTTGCCCTGACCATCTCCAGCCCTGACTCAGGCAATTCCCCTTGGCTCTAGCCACAGCATTTCCCAGAACATCTGAATGAAGCCTTATGGAGGGGATCCCACCCCCAAACCACCTCCTGCAACCTTTATCTATTCTTTAGCATTGTCTTTATATTTGTATTGTTGAGTTGCCTTTATATTTGTATGATATTTGTATTGTTAATTGTCCATTACATAAACCATCTCTGGTCTATCTATTGTGCAGTTCTGGCTCCTGATTGAACACTGATTCGTGTAATTATAAATTATTTAAAAGGTCATAAATGTTATGGGAAAAATCAAATGGAACAAGTTGTACAGACAGTGTTGACAGGCTAAATTGAATTGTCTGTGCCAACTTCACCAAGGTGACATTTGAACACAAAATTAACTACAGTGGAGTAAATGGTTCAGGAACAAGAAGTAAGAACATTCACTGTGGGAGGAAGAAAGGGTACAGAGCTGTGCGGGAGAGCTGGGCTTGTTCCAGAAACAGGCTGTGGGGCAGGGTTTCTACAGCAGTTGCTACCTGAGAAGCCTGGGCAAAGATCAGGTCACAGAGAGAGCAGGACCAGTGAGGGTAGCTATGGGCCACTGTGGGGACAGTAGCTTTTTCTCTGAGAAACGGGCAGATCTGGAAGGCTTTGACACAAGTAATATGTGACACATTTTTAGAGTCCTTCCAGGTGTTATATTAAGAATGGATTGAAGGCAGCAAGCGCAACAGCAGGGGAAACAGCTGGAAAGACTGCAATAATCTAGGCCAGAATGATGGTGTAATGTCGCCTACCTGGACAGAAGGGGAGAACAAAGAACAGACTTATTTACCCACCACAAAGAAAGAAAATGGGAAAGAATCTGCAAAACCATTTTTTTATACTTTGGACCATAAACAATGAAGGCTTTGAGTCCCCAGCGCGACTTACAATGAGAGGTCAGTTCTTGTTACAGCATCTCCAGCCCTGCAGGAAGTCTGGACCCCAAAGAGAGAGTACCCAACAGGGTCAAGTGTCTGGCTTAGTGCAGGAGATGATAGTGGGACTTGGGGACAGGAGCAATGATCGCAATGTGTGAAACTCAAGCAGAAAATCCCCACGTGAAGGAATAACCTCAGAAATATGTTGGGGGTTCCATGAGCAGCTGGGGAAATGCCAGCCCACAGGGGAGAGGGAACAGATCCTCTCATCAGGGAGGACAACCCCAAGGAAGAAATGACCCTAAGAACTATAAGGAGAACACCTAGCAACAGGGCAACAAGGTCCTGAAGGGGTCAAGACAACTCAAGGGGGAGAGGACAGACGTCAGTCTGTCACTGGGAGAACTGAAATCTACCCACAAAAGAATGAACTCAGACCGCAGAACAATTAGGGTAATGTGGACGTCAGGGAGAGGGAGGTGCAGGATAGTGAGGAGTCAGGAGATGGAGAGCTCAGAATGGCCATCATGGGCAGGACCACTGTTCACTCCAGGCCCGAGGAAGAAGGAGCCATGACAGGCAACAGGGTGTGTCTTTAAAGCTGTAGCAACTGACCTTTCAACCATTACCAAAAGACATGCTCTTTACACTGTGGAAGTTCTTGCCCCAAACAACTGTGTGGTGTTTTCCCTGAGAGCCAGACTCAGATCTGTGACATGCTGGCTTCAGCTGACTTGTCCCTTCTACAGGGAAGTGAGTCTCCATTACTCAGTTATCTGTTCCTGTGCAGAGCCAACCTCATTTCTGTGCCATGCTGGCTTCAGATCACTTGGCTCCTAAATGGGGAAGTGGGATCAGCCAATTCATTGTCCACATCACTTGAAAGCCATTCATTCTGTCTTGGGCTGCGTTAGCCTTCTTGTGAGGAAAAGAAACCCGGAACTGGTTTACAGCCTCCAGCTCTGGTTGCTAGGAGACCCCTGAGGTTGCTCTGTGGTATATTCCATAGAGGTGGAAGCCAGAGACAATGGCTCCTGGGACTGGTTTCCTGCCTGAGCATTTTCCAGACCTACAAATGTTTAGTGTGTGTCAGAACTCCATTCCTTTCTGTGGTTCATTGAGCCCCTCCTCACCACTGCAAAAAAACAAACAAAAACCCAGACAATGTGTGTTCAGATACTCTT